ATGCACAATTACATGACACTTCCTTTTTATTGAAACTGGGATGATTGATGGGATGGGAGGAGGGGAGAGAGATGTTAGTGTTAGAATGGATTCCCTCCTGAAGACTTGAGTAGGCAATCCCTTTTCTGGGGTTACTTCCCTTCTTCTTTTAATGCCACTAGACCAGCTTCAAGTCACGTGGACTTCTTTCGCACAACATATCTGTCCATAGTGCCTGTACTCTGTTCCTTTATGATTGTCCTAAAGTGGTTCACAACATTGCATTGTAAACAGTCACCAGCACGCCTGCAATAAGCTGTGTGAGGGTGATTTTTCACCAAAAAAGGTTTGCACTTCAGCCATTTGCACACATTTTCCTGTAATCTTTGAAGTAGGCATTCCCATCAATTTCTCTCTCCCCTCCTATGAACCATTTCCCAGTCTGGCACTCTTTGCTCTTGAAGTTGATCTATTCAGCTCATCAGTGGTAAGTTCTTCATTGTCCTCCTCCACCAACTCTTCCACATCATCCCCACACTAACCTCCCAACCCCCAAGACTTCCCCAATGCCACAATTGATTCCTCAACTGTAAACTCCTCTCAGGTTAGCCTCAAACCCTTCAAATCCCTTTGTTCTACACATTCTGCTCACAGTTTCTTCCACGCAGAGTTCAAGGTTCTCTTAGGTCACTCCCTCCAAGCCTTACCTATAAGGTTTACATTTACAACAATTGAGGATATTAAAGTGATCCTTCCAAACTCTTTTAGGGAGTCAATCGAGTTCTGTGTCACCTTCAAAGCACGTTTTGAACATACTTTTGTGTTACAGTTTCTTGAAGTTGGAAATGACCTGCTGGCCATGGGCTGCAGAAGAGTGTATTGGAGGCAAAAACTTCACCTTAATGAAGCCACCATGTCCCCATAAAGTCTCTCTGCACGGCTGTATGATGACAGGGCATTGTCTAACAACAGGAGGCACTTAAGTTCTATTTCTTTTCATTAGGTAATCTTTCACATTGGGGCAAGATGCATGGTGTAACCATTATAGAAAAATTCCTAGTGACCCATGGCCTTACTGTTTTGCCCTCCCCAACAGCCTCACAAATTATCCTTGAGTACATTCTTTTGCCTGAACCTTCTGGAGTTTCAGAGTGATACACTAATAAAGGCTTAACTTTGCCAATCACCACTACAATGGCACACCATCAACAAAGTAAGCCTGCTTCAAAGCTTATGTCCTGGAGTGCCATTTCCTCCTGAGTAATGTAGGTCCTGCTTGGCATTTTCTTCCAGAACGAGGCCTGTTTCATCACTATTAAACACTTGTTCAGTTTCAGTCTTCAGTTTCTGTTGTACTCCATGAAATCCCTGCAACTATATTTTTTCAGCCGCTTTGTGTCCGAACTGGCAGCCTCACCAGCAGTAATCACACTATGTATGCCACTACGCTTCTAAATCTCTCAAAACCAACCTTGCTGCCCGTAAATTCACTCACATCATCACTAGTTGCAGGCCTTTTTTAATTAAATCCGCATGCAACTTCCTAGCCTTTTCACATATGATCGCTTGAGAGACGCTAACTCCTGCTAGCTTTGTTCAATTATCCACACCAATAAGATCTGCTCAACATCTTCCAACACTTGCGATCTTTGTTTCGAAAACACAGTTAAACCTTTGCAAGAACAGCTTCCTTGATTGACCATACCTTGCCCACAATAGAAGAGATGGTTGATTTGGTTTCTTGTACAACCTACCAGTCGGAGGATACTCACTCCACTTTCATACTTATCAATGATCCTTTCTTCATTTCTATAGGAATTCTAACCCTTATTGCTGTAGGGTTTGGAACTAGAAGCATCTATCTTGGGTCCCCGATGGTCACATAAATTTTCCATAAACCCACCGAAAACACAGTAATAATACGAAATATTCCGATGTAGCTTGAAGATACCCGCGGAGGCTGGCTTGTAAACAAGCCACCTGCGGAACATATAAGGCCTGTGGGGGCCCAGGCCGCACATTGGACGCGTCTCGGACGTAGGCCGCTGAGCGGGTTTTTGGGCGCTTAAGCGGGGCAAAATTTTAGCGATCAAAGCTCCGCTATGCGGATTGTCCGCTATGCCTAGGGCGTCCGTTATGCGGGGGTCCACTGTATATGTATATATACACATCCCTCGTTTTTCTTCTATTTCTTTCTAGTACTTGTTGTTGTTCATTTCCTCTCATCTCCATGGGACGTGGAACAGAATTCATCCTCCGTAAGCACATGCTGTAGTAAGAGCGACTAAACTGCCAGGAGCAAGGGGCTATAACCCCTTCTCCGTATAAATAAATAATTTTAAAAAAGGTAGAAACTTTCGTTTTTCTGTTGGGGCCACCCTTCCTTGGTGGGATACGGCCGGTTTTGGTTGAAAAAAAAAAAGATTTTTTATAGGCTGTGCTGTCTCACTCTAAGTTAGGGTTTGGCTTTTGGTCACAAGAAAAGCTGAGCTCTATCTAAAGATTGATGGTGGAGAGAAAGGCGGTCCCATTATTTTGTGCCATGCGGCACTGTTTTACCACTGGGAGGTGGCAGCTTAATCCTGTGGGGGGGACCTTCTCGGGTGGGGTGGCATGCAAAGATTACGTAACTTTATATTCGGCGCTATACACACCCTCATTTACAGGCTATCTCCCCAACCAGCGAACCAGGGTTGCTAAGAGTTGATGATGGGGCCCCGTCGTTCAACTAGTGACGAGTTCTAGCCAATAAGAAATGGGTTTGGCAATCGCAGAGGTTATGTGGGTACGCGCTCTCCTGTCTGCCCTTGACGTTCCTCATTCTAGAGCTGTTGAAGCCGGGTCTGCTATCTGTGGTCTTTCATTCTGCTTTGTCTTACCGTGAGTGCACTATACTTATCACTGTACAATAGTGAACATATTTCTGTTATAATTGGTAAGATCATATAGTCCAATAAAACTTTTTCTACTGTGTTTTATTGCTCCATTACACCCGGGGTAACACCATTTGAAACCTGGATGTAATACCTACTATGTGTGAGAAAGCAGGAAGATGATGTAGGACTGCTGTCTATGTTACAACCTCTGCTACAGCTGGACAGATGCAACCCCGTCACCACAGAGAGTCCAAGTCAATGCGACCGTCAGTCACGAGGGGGGAGGTGTTACGCACACCCTACTTCGACTTCCATTATATCAAAAATAAAAGGCCTGGTTAAAATAAGTTCTGTAATAATATATCACGCAACCTTCTTTATACTAGCTAGATAAAGCAGGTTCGACAATATATTATTCTTGGTACGGTACTGACTTCATCAACAGTAACTCCATTGTATTACATTGTAATTATATTAAATCTATTCCCCAGATTATAATAAATTTATTAATTATAATATTATTAGGTTAGGTATTACGAATGTTAACCCATCTGTAGTGACCCAATTGGTGGTTCTAGAATTGACGCCACCCGTCCCTTCTGGCCAAGAGCTGAAGTCATACTATGATGTAGTTGAGTGAGTCAGTCATCTCCTAGCTCTGACTCGGTACGGACTTCAACCCAAAGCACCTACTTAAACTAAAACTTTATACCAATCTATTGTCTTGCCTTTGCCTTAAGTTTCCAGAAGTCTGTTATCATGTCACTTATGAAAGATACTATTTCGTTACCGTATACCTTTCTAAAAATTTAAATGGTGAGAATAGTTAGATTATAATTGAAAATTATTGTATCATACTCTGTTAATGGGGGAGAAATTTGAACGGTAAGATTGGGTTTCCTGCTGTATGTATATTCATTTATAATTGCTTGAGTTGTTATTTTAAATTCACTAAACCAAATACAATGAAACTAAATGATTGGTAATAAAATAAAACTAACAAAAAAAAAATGGAGTTATTTGTGCCCCTATTGTTACGGTGAAGATTAAGTCGTAACATAGCCTCTTTGTTGAAGTCTGTTCCTCTCCCTGAAGTCTGTTCCTCAGCTTTAGACCAGACTAGGCTGCAACCAGGGTGGCTACAGCCTGTGAGGGCTTAATTTTAAGCTGTCCTTTGTGTTGGTCTCAATGGTATTGAGAGGAACAGGATAATAATGGCTTGCCTAGTGATCTGCGGAATGCTGCTTCACTCATCGCCTCAACACAATGGCTTGTACTTCCTCTTAATTTTCTCAAACCTAGCCTTACTAACACCAAAGTCACTACCACTGCTTTCAACTCAGATTTTTGCAACTTTAACATAAACCAGCTGTGCTTTTGTATGTATGTGCTTATTGTCTGAAAAAAGAGTTCAAATATCAAATGTTACAAGAATAAGCTGTACCATAGCTGGAATAATTCACAACTCATCTTCAACCCATGAAAGCATTCAACATGGCTGATACTCACAAATGAACTTATGTCATCCTGTAACACCAGAATTAGGCGTCATCAGACATAGACCTTATCGAATCACAATGATCTGATTGTATCCAGGTTTCTGCATTTATGTGAAGATGGGTTGTATAGAATGTAAGGTGTTGGTATTGTAAAAAAAGTGTGGCATGACTATGTAGCAGATGTGACTATTGGTGAAAGCGACACTATCACAGTAGTGCACTACTACTACAATATTCATGCCTTGACTTCATTCCATAAAAGCACCCAGAAATTATGAAGCACTTTTTTTAAAGTGCCAACACCTTATATTATATACAAGCTATCTTCACATAAATGTAGAAACCTGCATAACACTGATGATGTTTAAAGATGGACTGAAACACTGTCTAAAGTTTCTCCCTCAAGTTGTTGAATGTTTTTGCAAAAATATTTCTCCATTTTTATTATGTTATCATCACACAGTTAAAACCCTTTTACATCTTGCTCTTCTGTATGTGTTTTATCAATGATAAAACTATGAAGTTGCAAGCTCAATTATCAGTTTTTCTGGCAGTCTTTGGTTAGACTAAATCACAGGAATACAGTAGTCAAATCTTTACTCTCTCTTCAAGGTGAGCTGTACTCAAACAGTTGTCTTTCTTTCAGATTCGTGAGGAATTTCAACACTCGAACCTACAAGAGACAGAAAGATTATTGACTGAGAAGGAAGCTCACCGTGATTGTCTCACAACTGCGTAGTGCAAGTGTAAGTGTTTTGTTGATATGTTTTAATTACACGGTCTACTCACAACCAGGGATTGTGAGGAAAGTGAAGCACATGGAATAGAAGGGAAAAAAAAAATCCATGGAAGAGGAATGGTTGACAGGCAGCAGAGAGTTTGCATAAGTGGGAGAATTCAGGGTGGGGATGCTCACAGTGGTGTTCACAGGGGTCAGTGTTGGGCCCATTAACTGTTGCAGTTTACATAAACATAAAGATAAGAGATAAATAGGCTGTCTGATAATTCTGACATGACATAAAGAGCACTTACAGGAAGATCTAAAAGATTGACACAAGTAGCTCAGAAGGGAAAAAAAGCTGCAGATATAATTTTTAATTTATGTAATACAAATGCAGAGTTCTAACTTGGGAAAAATAAAATAATCATGGCACACTTATGAACTAAATTATCTTGTAGATCTTAACCACTCTTAATGCAAAAAATGATTTAAAGTTCTGGTTAGCAAGTAATCTAAAACCAAGACAACAATGCTTAAGTTTCACAATAAAGCTAATGAATTTTGGCTTCATATCAAGAAGCATAAATAGCAGGAGTCCTCAGGTTATACTTCAACTCTGTATACGTGGACTCCTTAGAATACATGCTTATTTGACACATTTAGCTATTACACTATAAAAATTGGCGACTAATTTTTGTACACACTACATAATAACTAGCTTACCATGTTCCCTTATGGGTAGAAAAACACCCAACCCTCTCCCAGACCTCCTTTCATACATGTATCGTAATGACTCTTCCTGAACTAGTTGTGTTTTGTACAGTAGTAAATCACAGCTACCCACATAAACTTACTTGACTTGACTTACTGGCCTAAAGTTAGATTTTTTCACTGAAAAGGACCCTGACATCTAGAAGCAGTGCTTCTAAAACAACAGGGTCGAGAGCACTGATGATGCCTTAAAACTATCAGCTGTAATAGTACTGCAGTGTAAAATAGCCCAGAGATCATTACAGAATTTATGCACACGTCAGGCACAACACCATCACTTTAGTACCAGAACCTCTACCGACATCCACCTCAGCCCAGTAGGACCACAACATAACTCTCCCACTCTCATCACAATCAAGACGAACACACCAGCACCCACAATGTAGGTAAGAAATGCTAATATTTCTGTTTGCATTTGTAGGCTTAACCATTTGCTCCAAACTTGCTCATAGGGGTCAGAAAACCCCCTCCCCTCCCAATTCTTATAAATGAGAAGAATTTTTTTTCCAAGGTAATGAAACCAAAAGTTAGAAGTCATCGGTATATTTACCGCATTTGAGTTCGTCCCACTTTGGAGACCAATTTTGTTTTTTGGGCCAATTCCTTTATTTATTTATTTTATTATTAATTTTGACATGATACATAACGTACAAAGAAATACAGTGTTAATTGTACATGCAAAAGCCCCTTGTATGCAGAGCATTATGGGCAGGCTTAAAATTAACGATAAGATTAACTAAGTAAAAACATGATATATTCAGTGGTTAAAATTTAGAAAACAAATAACAATTAAGCACAAATGAGGTAACAGTGGACCCCCGGAATCGATATTAATCCGTTTCCAGAGAGCCTCAACGAATACAAAAGTTATCGAAAGCGAATTAATTTTCTTCATACGAAATAATGGAAATCAAATATCTGAGCAAGAACACCCAAAAGTATGAAAAAAAAAATTTAACCAACATGACATATTAATTTTAATCACACAAACTGAAGAAGACAATGCCACAGTTTGTAGTACTTTACTAACATATAATACAGTGGACACCCTCATAACGATATAATCGTTCATGAGAGCTCATTGTTTATGCGGAAATTATCGTTATGCTATGAATTTTCCCATAAGAAAGAATGGAAATCAAATAATCCGTGCAAGACACCCAAAAGTATGAAAAAAAAAAAAAATTTTTACCACATGAAATATACATTTTCCTACACACACAGAGACGGATACTTCACAATAGTAGAGTAGTACATGCACAATATATTGTGCATGTACTACTCTACTAAATGAAAATAAATGACACTTACCTTTATTGAAGATGCAGCAAATGGACTGATGAGACAGTGTGTCCTGGAGTGCCTTTTCCTTCCTCCTGGGTAGGTAGGTCCCTGTTGCATTTTCTTCCAGAACAGCATTAATCACACTGTGTATCCACTACCGATGCTTAAATATCCTCAAACCAACCTTTGCTGCTTTAAATTCACCAATATGAGCACTAGTTCCAGGCATTTTTCTCCTGTTCACCTGGTTGTTAGTCGACTGGTGTGGGTTTGCATCCTGAGACAAGATTAAGGACCCAATGGAAAATAATTAGAGTCCTCGATGATGCACTGACTTTCTTGGGTTATCCTGGTGCTAACCCTCCGGGTTAATTGTTTCTTGGTAATTGTTTCCACGTTAAGCCACACCAACAACAACTCTCATTCCACATCTTCGATAATACAGCTGATGTGTGGTGCAGCCACAGCAACAGCTGTGGGTGCAATTTGACCCCATGGTGGCAGCAGCAGCTGTGTGCAGCAACAGCTGACCGACGCATGGTCAGCTGCAGCTGTGGTGCAGCAGCAGCTAGTGGAGCAGCAACACTGACTGGTCCAATTTATCAGCTGACCGTGGAGCAGCAGCAAGCTGACTGTGGTACAATAATATTTATCACCCTTTTTTACCACAGGGTTGGCACTATAAGCTTCTTTGGGGCCCATGTTGCTTATTTATGCAAGTTACAACAAGCTCTAAAATAATGAATAATACAAATGTATCGAATGTATGCATCAACCTCCACCCTGGCTTTAAAACTGACGCAAGCAGCGCTCAGGCCTGGACGGACAGGTTAGGGACAGGTTCGGACGAGTCATGTCAAACCAGCTGATGGTGCAACAGCTGCTGACCGTGGTGCAGCAGCGCTGACTGATCCACAACAGCTGACTGTCCCAGCAACAGCTACCTGGTCCAGCAACAGCTGACTGATCAGCAACAAAGGCTTGACTGACTCCAGCAACAGCTGACTGTCCAGCAACAGCTGACTGGTCCAGCACCACTGACTGGTCCAGCAACACTTGACTGAATCCAGCAAACATCTGACTGATCTAGCAAAGCTGAATCTATTATATCCAGCAACAGCTGACTGGTCCAGCAACATTGACTGATCCATCAACAGCTTACTGTCCAGCAACAGCTGACTGGTCAGCAACAGCTGACTGATCCAGCAAACAGCTGACTGATCCACAACAGCTGCTGGTCCAGCAAACAGTTGACTGATTCCAGGCAACAGCTGAACAGGTCCAGCAACAGCTGAACTGGTCCAGCAACAGCTGACTGAATCCAGCAACACAGCTGACTGATCAGAAACAGCTGACTGATGCCCGCAACAGCTGAGTGGGCCAGCAACAGTTGATCGTGTGCAGCTTGCAGCAGCTAACTGATCCAGCAACAGCTGACTGTCCACAACAGCTGATCGAGGTGCAGCCCAGGCAGCATGACCTGATTCAGCAACAGCTGACCTGGTCAACAACAGCTGATCGTGTGGCAGGCAGCAGCTGACTGATCCAGCAGCAGCTACTGGTCTAGCAACAGCTGAACCATGGTGCAGCAGCACTGACTGTGGTATGAAGTATATTCATTCACCCTTTTTACCACTCGGGTTTATCACATAGAGGCTTTCTTAGGGGCCCATGGTCACTTATTAGGCAGATAAATCACAAAAACACTGTAATAACACAATTTCCGATTGTATGCTTGATGTTTACACGGAGGCTGGCTGGTAAAAATGCCACCTTACCACGTGAGGCTGGCTCATGCCGCACTTGACGCACTTGGATGAACAGCTTGAGCGGGTTTTTTTAGCGTTGAATCGAGGCGAAAGCTTAGCATAAAATGATCAGTATGCGATTTAACGTTATGTCTAGGCCAACGAGTATGCGGGGATCCCACTGTACATGACACTTAGCCTTTAATGAAGATCTGGTGATGAATTGATGGGATAGAGAGGGAGAGTGTGGATGTTATTGTTAGAAGGGTAATCCCCTTCCATTAGGACTGAGGCAGCAAGTCCTTTCACAAGGGTACTTCCCTTCTTCTTTTAAGGCCACATAGGAGCTCAGCTTGAGAGTCACTGACCTTCTGTCGCACAACATCTGTTCCATAGAGCTCTGTAACGTCCGTGTTCCTTATGATTTGTCTAAAACGGCCACAACATTGTCATTGTAGATAGTCTCCAAGCATGGCTTGCAATAGCTTGTTAGGTGAGTTTTGCATCCATAAAAGGTTTTGCAGTTCAACCCTACTTTGCACACATTTCCTTATTTTTGAGTAGGCAACATGGAATTCCACAACTGGCATAGTCTTCTCAGGTTCCTCAAACCCTTCAATCTTACTAATTTCCATACTAATTCTCAAACCCTTTTTACCACAGGGTTGCACTAGAAGCTTTCTTGGGACCCATGGTGACTTATTTTGCAGAAACAAGCACTGCAAAAACACTGTGATAATATGGAATGTACGAATGTATGCCTGAGATGCAAGCACACGGCTGGCTTGTAAACACTGGCACACCACAGGCAAGTTCTGGCCACACATGGACACCTCTCGGACGAATCCGGGTGGCGTGTTTTTTAAAATTGAGAAGCTAGGCAAAATTTTTGCGTTAAAATGTATCGAAAACAGGATTTATCGGATACCGAGCCCATCGATATACCGGGTCCACTGTATTTCAAAACAGGAGATTTGTCATTTACGAGTTGCTGTGCTTTCAGTAGAATGGAGTACAGTGGGACCCCCGGTTAACGATATATTTTCATTCCAGAAGTATGTGTTATGTGACCAGTATAGACAAATTTGGTCCCATAAGAATAGTGTGAATAAGATTAGTCCATTTCAGACCCCAAACAACACGTACAAATGCACTTACTAAATACACTTACATAATGGTCCATTGGGAGGTGATCGTAAAGCGGGGTCCACCTGT